ATCTTTTTTTGACTGTTAATAATGAAAGAACTAAATTACAAGTAAATAAAATTGCGATACTATAATCTTAGAACTACATCATATTTTGGATCAAAAAAAGTTTATTAGACAATTCATCTCAACGTGAGTAACGTAAATGTAAAACCAATTTGTATGAAAAGAGAACACATAGCGAAAGAAATTATTCTATCTAAATTGATATAAAATAAACTGTTCCGTACTTTGCAGTCTTTAATCAATTCTGATGACTATAAGTGTTTGAAGTACGTTGAACAATGACGATGAATTATGTGAGGAAGATGTATAGACATAAACAACTAAATGTAAAAAAAAATAAAAGCTATTCCGCCGATGGTGTGACTGGAAACCATAGAGAAGAAAGCTTTTTTGTCGTTTTATAATTGCGTTCTGCCATACTGTTGATAGAGTGGCTCATACGTCATGTAACCAAACAAAAAAGTTCCCGAATTGCTGAGATTACATCAATCTATTTTATTTTATAGAAAAAGACAAAATATATTAAATCTTTTATTCTTTAAGATATACATATATACATAAGAAAAATAAGGAGAACAAAATCTATTGTCAGCAGAAAATAGTACTGATAACGGGTAATTCTATTGATTGATTTCTTATTTCTACTTCGTTTTCTGTCTCTGATATTGTTACAACATCTTTTTCACCAAATATTTTCCGTATTGATCGTTTTAAATCTTGACGAAAAGCTTTGGAAACAATCACAAATATGTAAAAATCAGTACAATGTGAAATTGAATGTATAAAAAACCCAAGAATAAATAAGAAATTATCACGATCCACTTCCCAATCTGTTAATACTTTAAAATGAGTTATTGCTTTATAAACTGTACACGGAAATATGAGACCACTACATATAATATGAATAATATTCTTCAGAAATAAACAACGAAGTAATTGAAAATCTTTCTTATGCATTGCTCGACCCTGTTGTCGTTGTTCACGTGGTATTAATTTCAATTGACGAATATTTTTATCTGAAAATATTGATAAAATAATCATTAATACAATCAAAGAGACATTTATTGTCATTTGAGAATAAAAAAGAAAATCATAATAAAATCCAATGAATTGAAATGAACATATAGATTGATATAAATCATATTCAATAGGAATATGAAGATAATAAATAGACCAAATAATTATCGATATACTAAGAGAAAAATAAGCTAAACGTTTTGAACTATACAAACGTCTTTCAACATTTATTGAATATATTAATAAACGATCAATTGAAGAAAGAACAAGAATACTTGGCGTCATGATATCAAAAATAAGTGTTACATAATTACTTAATTTACATAATACCACATTTGTATTTAATATTTGACTTTGAAAACCAAATATAGTTATATTAACGAATAAACTATTATTAATATTGATGAAGTTAGTTAGAAGAAGAATAAGAAAATAGAAAACAAACATTTTTACGCCAAGTTTTCTGATAAAATACCCAAAAACTGAATAAAATTCCAAGATTTCCAGTAATAAATAATGGAATACCAACAAATCGATGGAGATAAATAAGAATGGTGTTCAATGTAGTCATGTTCTCATCAAATGAATTGGTTCTATCTATTTACTTGAGAATTTATTGAGATTTGATAAAACTTAAGTTGATTTAAATTGTTATTTGCTATAAATATTTCTATAGATGAAATTTCAATTGACGTCAAACAATAATTTCTCATTTATTATAAGAAGATCAATATAAAAAGAAATTCGACTTGATTATCTTTTCTCATTTACGCAGTAGCTTAAAAGATTCTTCAAAAATAATTATTTTGATCAGTATTAACGTCGGCGTTCGTCATCGGGATTTGTGGTCTGGAGAGAGGGTCATATGACGACAAATACTTTATATGGAGGTGTGCCTCCCAAGCAGAAAGTTTAATGAAAGAATGGTATTAAAATGATATAGATACCAACAAAAAAAATGGTGATAAACTGTCACAAAAAATCCTTTATAACGGCAATTTATTTAACATTAAAATGTCGAATCGTGCGACTATTAAATGGTTTTCGAAACGATGCAAAAAATGATTAAACGAATGCTAATAAAATAATCATTTCTATAAAGTGAAAATTAACTAAAATTATCCAATACAATGTATACAAATAAATCATTTTTCTCATTGTATAGGCCAAATTTTACATCATTACTTTCATACATATTAAACAATGTTATATCTAAATAATTCCTGCCGTGCAATCATTTGCATCGGTTTTTTATTATCGAACTCTTTTTTAAAGCAATTAATTGTCGTGCGGTTCAATATTCGAATAGGAGATTGAGCAGAGTATCGACATATCACCCTTATACCTCAGGCAAATTCATCTATATTTCTTTTTATTCTGTGGTTTGTTATCAATTTTCATTCATTAGTAAGTTATTTTCTCGTATTGTTCGCTGTGTACACTGATAATTTGCCGAAAGTTTAAAACCAAGTCTAAGCTTTTTCTTTACAAAAAAATTAGCAAATATTATATTGAAGGTTCACTTACATAAAAAATATTTAGTAAAGAATTGAGTAATGGAGTTCTCGATAAATACTATAATATTAATCACTTAATCACACATATAAGGAACACAGAAATTCGTATACAAATCCAAAGAAAAAGGAAGAGAAGAAGCTAGATAAAACACACTACACAACAATCAATAACATCAGATTCTTTTTAAATTTTCGGCAAATATCAGTGTACGCAACCAAAAATACGAGAAAATATCTTACTAATGAATGAAAAGTGATAGCGATCCACGGAATAAAAAGAAATATACATGANAAAAATAGTTGAGTCGAAATTTCGAGTTTCGCATTACTAAAAGACGCAAGGATCATAGTAGCTATTCATAGTGGACTGCTGTTTCATGTGTGAAAAATGATCATGAATAATGGACATTACATAAATAACAAGAACGACGACAGTTCTTTGGTTAGTTTTGAAAAAGGTTGAAATTGACGAGGACCGTTCCCGAGACATTATTTGGAAGCGCAAGTTTTATCTGAAGTATAACCCAATCAGTCGAGGGTAATGCGAGTCTCCCTCGACGAGCGTTGTTTATTTATTCTTTGTCATACTTCAGTAAAGTTTCGAAATGGTTCTTTTTTTATATGATTAGATAGAGCATCGATTATTCTATCGAAATTTATAATTGTCATTTTTCTATCTTTGGTTTCAATCCAAAAATTTTATCGATCTCTGAAAAATACTGAAATTCATTTTTGAAAAACTGCATTATTTTTATGATTTCGTGCGATTATGTCAATAAAATATATCCTTTCAATTGATACTACCCTGAGAGAGTGCATAACGAATTTTATATCAAATGAAAGCCTGTCAAAAATGGAATTTATTAGTACTACATAGTAAAGATTATGTGAACATTTTTATATCTAACCGAATCAATTTTTAAAATCTAGGTGCGCTTCTTTGAAGTACAAAGACGAGATAGGTGGAATTTAGCATTGAAGAGAAATTTTTATTTTGAATACTTTTACATGATTTGATAGAGCTTATCGAGCTCTACAAACTGTGCGTAGTGAAAGATTTTGAGTTGTTTACTTCTCTCAGCTTCCCAAAAGATAATGAAAATCCTGAAAAATGCCCAGAAAATTTTTTTTTTAAATAACAGTGCCATTTCTCGTTATTTTCACTACGTTAAACTTTTCGAAATGAATGTCGAAACAGATCGGGTTGTATGAATAATAAAAATCAGATGTGAGAAAAAGTAGATGAATTTTTAGGCAAAAATACTTCTGCAAAAACTCTTTTTAGTATCTTTTAGAAATTGATAAATTTTTTGGGTTGAAAGGAAAGAAGAAAAAATGTAAATAACATGTTTCAATAGAGTAATCGATGGCCTGTCTAACCATACGAAAAAGGAAATATTTTAACAATTTGCTGAACCAAAGTAGGCTGCAGAAAATGAGCAAAAATAAGTGAATCATGCTGTACACTACTAATAGGCGGATCTTGTAAACCTATCTAGTATTCGTAGGGAGGTGCGAGAGCCAATTTTCTTTTGTTTCAATCCTTATACTGGCGTCTATAAAAGTATGCATTGCTTTTGTTTTCATCTATTGTCTTCGTGGAGAAAAGTTCACTTTACTGATGGTATATGCAGTCGGCGAGGTGATTCGGATATAACACATCCACTTTTCAGCCAAATCGAATGAAAATTATTTTACAATGATAAAACTCGATGACAAATAGAATGAGTAGCCTCCGAAGGTATATCCATGCTACAGGTTTTCCAAAAGGTTTTTGGAAAACCATTTAGCATGTTTAATCTATAAGTATCTACTATAATTCGATCTACATTTCCCTTACATAATCCCTCGTATGATTTTCACTTTCCGTTAGGTTATGAGAAGACTGGATTCTTTGTGTAACCCTATATCACTTCTATGCACTTTAGGTGATCATGATCTCTGTACTTGTACTATCTTTTCCAGGTCAGGTAATCATCCTCTTCATAATCGTACTATATTTTCTAGGTATTGTAATCACTTTATATCTCGGTATTAATGAAATCTAGGTACCTTCTTGCAGGTCGCTCGCCTCCTATGAATAGATATGTTTCATCTGATATAAACATACAATATCTTAGTCATTCTTTCGTATAACAACAGCTATTTATGAATTATATCTGATTATTTTGTTATGCCTAAAAAATCGAAGAGACGAACAGTCCAGTCACGTAGTACACCAGCTCGCCGATGAGGAAATGCAACGATTTCAAGTCCACCTGATTTTCCAAATGATGAGTATCGTGTAGATGTCGACAATTCAAAATTAAGCTTTATGAAGAAACTTACACTTTCCAACATTGAAGATCTGGCTGAAATATGGCGTTTCAATTGTAGCACAAAATGTCTCAGTGTATTACTCTACGTGTCATTACGATATTTTAAAATTAAGTGGAATGATATTGATGAATATCAAAAGGTATTGGCTTTATGGTAGCACAAAGTTCGCACAAATGGACTGACATATTTTTGGACGGTGCTCATAAAGAGTTTACCAGTGATTTGCGTGGCGGTAAACATTCTGATTCATTTCATGATATATATCCAGAAATCGAGGTAGATGCCAAAGCATTTGTTGCAGAAAAATGTTCACAAAAATCAGGTGAGTTAAAAGCGATGCATCTGGCTCGATTTATTATTGAAAAATATTGTGAATTGAATGGTATTGATGAACAAGTTAATGGCGGTTATGTAAGATCCGAAAGAAGTTGCCAATTAGATCTTTGTAGATGGGGTGCGAAGTTTGAAGCCAATGCACAACGGCCGTACTTCGAAGGACATGAAAGAAATGATGTCGTAAAACATCGTACTGAATTTATAAATCTTTTTGATATATAAGAATTTTTATCATACCTTTACTGATGGAGAGACATCTGTATGAAATCCTCCAGTTAGAAGTCCTCAAAGGATATTATTAGGTTATTAACCAAATTCTTGCGTTTTTTTAGAATGGTCTAAAACATTGGAGAAAGTTCTAGAAGTTTCCATATTGAGGGTATATAACCCTTTGAGTCCCAGTGGTACATATATATACCACCTGACGAAAACTTCTAATTTCAAAATACATTTGTCCACATTTAAAGATCTAGCAGGAATATGTGCGACAAATATTCATAGATAAGACGTATTTGTTGAAGAATGCACATATCCGTATGAATAAATAACAAGGAGAATTGTGCAGCTATATATATATTGGATTTCAGAAAGTATTCTTCAAAAATCTAAATTCTGAAAAATCCGTAGATTGATTCATTGGGTCTTGATGAAAACCTAACTATTTCCTAAAATATAATGAATTCAGATTCTGACGTAACCTCATCCGATGAAAATGAAAGTTCAACTAGTTCTGATGATTATGAAAGTAGTGATTCTGAAGATGATGATTCATTACTCGAGCAATTCGATCATAGTTCAATTGATGATTGGAAATGGAAGATCAACAACTCACGTTTTTCTACTTCTTTCAATTATTTCAACGGATACGCGTTAGGAAACAATGTAATTCGACCAATCAATTCATTTTTGAACTTCGTATCTCATGATTTGATTCAGACGATTACTGATCAAACCAACATTTATGGGAAACAACGCTGTGTTCAGAAAGGCGCAGATGCAACAAGTTGGAAAGAAATTGATTAAAACCAAATGCAAGCATTTCTTGGTATTTTATTAATCATGGGATTTCATAAGCTCCCAAGAATTCGAGATTACTGGAGTCAAGATAAAACTCTTCATACACCTGTTGTGGCTGATACAATGACAAGAAAAGAATTTCAACGGCTGTTCTCGAACATTCATCTTGCTGATAATTCGCGAATGCTGTCAAAAGACTCTTCTGACTATAATAAATTGTATAAAGTTGATGATTTTCTCAATATTTTGAAAACAAATTTTCAGAAAAACTACTCCCTTGGATCATGCGTTTCCATTGATGAGGCAATGATAAAGTTCAAAGGTAGATCGTCCGTAAAGCAGTATCAACCGTTGAAACCAACTAAGAGAGGGTATAAGGTGTGGGTCTTGGCTGAATCTAGTACAGGGTATGTGTATAACTTTGAGATTTACACTGGGAAAAATACAGAACGATGCTTGTCATTAGGAGAGCATGTAGTCATGTCATTAGTAAATGGGATAGAGATGAAGAATCGTCATTTATTTTTTGATAGTTATTTTAGTTCCTTATCATTACTTTACAAGCTGAAGAGAAATAATATTTCAGCTACTGGTACAATTCGTTCCGATAGAAAATATTTTCCAGCTGAGTTGAAAAAAAAAAGAGAAGCTTGAGAGAGGCGAATATCGATATCTAACATCTAATGGAATTTCTGTAATAAAGTGGATGGACAAGAAAGAAGTTCTTATTGCATCAAATTACTTTGATCCTGCAGTTGAGAGTGAAGTTAGTCGACGAGATAAAGATGGAAGTAGAAGGCAAATTTCTTGTCCAGTAGCAGTTGCTCACTACAATAAATACATGGGAGGCGTTGATTTATCTGATCAAAAAATAAAGTATTATACAATTGATCGGAAGTCAAAGAGAAATTGGATCAGAATCTTTTTTCATTTTCTTGGTATGTCGTTGATCAATTCATTTATCTGTTATAAAGATCTTTCTGATAGTAACATTAGTACAGTAGAATATATTTCGTCTATCAGTACTGCTTTGATCGGTAATTATTGTAGTAGGAAGAGACCAGGCAGACCTTTAGCGATAAGTAATCAGAAGAAGATGCGTATCGAGAACAGCGTTAGTGACACCGAAAATTCTGAAAAGCCACAATTGCTAGCTCATATGCCAGAAGTTATTTCTACTCGTCATAGATGTGCTTATTGTAGTACGAAAGAAAAACAGAAAAGGACAGATGTGATGTGTACTTTTTGCGGTGTTTGCTTGTGTTTAAAAAATTGTTTTTCTTTGTTTCATCAAAAATATGTGTATCAACATTGAAATGAATAAAAGATAATCATATAATCATGCAGGTTTTCATTTTAACCTAACCAGAGGTAATGTAATATGATCTAGATACTTAACAGTATGTTTTATCAGACTTAAATTCGGTATAAAAAATCCGGGACTCAAAGGGTTAAAGCATCATTCCTTCACTGAATAAAAGTGTACCAAATGTATATATGCTAGAAGTTCGTGCAGTCGTATGTAACGATAATGATATCGTTCATCTCTTTCTGTTCTTTATTCTCTCACCCCTGTATCATACTATCTCCGGGTCATATCTCTCTTTCCTCTTCTCTATATAAGCACGTGTCTTATTGTGAAAGAGATACATTCTGGTCATGTAGAGTAGTCAATAAACATCGATACCGTGAGGAGCGGTCAGCTACTCAACCAATTTGTCGTTACACCGTATATCTTAAGTTTCACTTATTTAGTAGAAGTCAAGTTATTTAAAAATATATTTAAAGAAGAAAGATTAACAAGGTCAATTGCTTATGAAGATTTTTCAGCGATCTCCATCAAACATTTACATACGTTATTCCAATTTAAGTATTATTAGAAGTGAATATTGGAGAATAGCATTAAGAAATAGTGACGTTTCCTAACTCTTTCAGTCATTGTGGTACACACGTATATGTATCATCTAGGGAAAATTTTTAGTTTTCGCAAAGTTTCGATTATATTTGTGGTTTTTCAAACGTAGGAGTACTTTTAAGAAGACTTAGCGGTAAAGACACATTTTTGCGAGATTGCCTCAATATTCTATGAATAGACATTCTCGAAAAACACATTGTTGTATTTATATTTGATTTCAAAGTCTTCTTCAAAAATTCAAGTTTCGAAAATTCTTATTTTTGTTCATTTTCATATTACGAACGAATGAATCAAAATGATGTAATCATTGGACAATCTTTTTTCTTCGTTCTTCACAATTACCATTCATTTTTGATTCGACATAACCTTGACGAGTACAGATCGTTCGGTGCGACATATACCCAAGTTATTATGACACGGTCGGCTCCGGCCGTTCAGGTTCATTTTCTGACCATTTCCTTGCCGCTGGATTCCGGTCAGAAGTTCAAACGTAGGTTCCAGTGATTTCCCGGCCGTTTCCTGCAAACCTCGAGCTGGAAACGGTCAGGAACTGATCGGATATTTCCTGTGCAATTCCGGTCGGAATCCGGCGGCAAGGAACCTGCCAGAACTTCATAGGGTGGCAAATATAAAATTGATACCAATTTTAAAGTCCGCATGTCAAAATGATTTAGAATTTAAAATCTTGAAAACTTCTATAATTTAGAAATATTTACGAAAATTTGGATTATTACAATCAGCGTTAGGCATCATTTTATATCTCATCAGAAAAGCAAAAGTCAGAAATTTATTTTTATGTATTTGTGAAAATTTTCATGGCAATAACTTAGAGAAAGGGTGAGGGTGCGGATGGTAGTGCAGATGTGGATGAAAATAGAAAAGTAGATTTCTGATTTCTACTTTTCTGCTGTCACAATTGATAGAGGTATTACAGTAGATTTCTGACTTCTACTTCGGTATTTACCAATGACACTCTTATATAAATATGATGAATTATCATCATTATACAGAAGAATTTTAAAATTTTATATCAGAAAGTAAACTTCTGATTGCTAGTGTTAATAGGGTGTGGGTGTGAGAGTAGATTTCTACGGAATATGCAGAAATCAGAGGTAGAAATTTTCTGAAAACTGTTTACAATTCGAGATTTGCCACGCCCTCGCAGAGCATCGACATATCACCCTTATACCTCAGGCAAATTCATCTATATTTCTTTTTATTCTGTGGTTTGTTATCAATTTTCATTCATTAGTACGTTATTTTCTCGTATTGTTCGCTGTGTACACTGATAATTTGCCGAAAGTTTAAAACCAAGTCTAAGCTTTTTCTTTACACAAAAATTAGCAACTATTATATTGAAGGTTCACTTACATAAAAGATATTTAGTAAAGATTTTAGTAATGGAGTTCTCGATAAATACTATAATATTAATCACTTAATCACACATAAGGAACACAGAAATTCGTATACAAATCCAAAGAAAAAGGAAGAGAAGAAGCTAGATAAAACACACTACACAACAATCAATAACATCAGATTCTTTTTAAATTTTCGGCAAATATCAGTGTACGCAACCAAAAGTACGAGAAAATATCTTACTGATGAATGAAAAGTGATAACGATCCACGGAATAAAAAGAAATATACATGAATTTGTCAGAGGTATAGAGATGCTATGTCGATACTCTGCTTAATCTCCCATCCGAATATTGAATCTCACGACAATTAATCGCTTTAAAACAGACAGTATGATGGTTGTAATTATCAAAAAGAAGTTTAATCCTACCCAAGTCAACAAATCCGACGTTGGATTCGATCGGATCCGAGTATGGGATTTGCCGACCTGGGTGCAGTATAACTACACATCCGCTAAACATCCGTGTCAGCTCAATACTCTATTTATTCAGCGTCAATAACATATGGTGGATTCATGTCTTTAGAACACTCAATGTTATGATTTGAAAGTTATTTCTGAGAAACTTTGTTTCTATCTGAGTATAAACGTAAACTGCGCAATGTCTATCTATCAAGTTAAGTCGCACAGATAGATTCTAATGACTGTGCTACTCGTTACAGTTGAATTATTTTAAGCAAGAATATCGCACAGGAATATATTACTTCAAGGGACCAAAAAATTCAATAATGGTATTTTGAATCTTTTGTTTGTTTGTGTAACTTTAATCCACAGAACAAAGTTGTTAGCTGCATAAACTAGACATGAAATCTAACACTAAAAGACGTACGGTTGGATTGCTCTCTCAAAATCTCGACTCGAACGATTTCACATGACAATACGCGATAACTTTGTCAAAATATATCATCTCTATGTAGAATTCGATTTAGTTGTAGTTCTCAAAAGGTAAAAATTGGCGCAGCGAATTTCCTCAGTCGCATATATTTCTCATTGCTGATTTGCATCTATTATGAACTAGAGAAAAAATAGTACTATCAGCGAAACATCGTCTATGAAGCGCATATACCGGTGTCTGAGTGTTTTATCCGAAGCAATGAAGTGATTGAGAGTCTGTTACTCAAATGGATTTCTTTCACACTTATGAATTATCAGTTATAAAACAAAGTTTCATCATGGTTCACTTCCCTTGTTCTTCTAACACAATCCACCATTTTATTCAGCTGATAAATATGTAGTGCGTACGCATTTACTAAAAGTTTGTGTGGTAGCGAGACTATTTTGTTCAATTTGTGCAAATTATTTCTCAATCGACATAGAGAGATCTTGTATAGATCCCCGCATTTGAAATGCCTAGTAGTTGTATACTGTATTCATTGTCTTCAAAGTCGATAATGAAGCGACAGAGCATTACTGGCTATATAAGAAACGAACTCTTTGTCTGAACACAATGAACACGATTGACTAATCAGAAATAGACCAATCGCAATATTCGATCTAGTTGTCGCCACATATATCCTGCTGGAATGTTAGCCTGATATGAAAGACTCTGGGAAACGAATGAATTCTAGCCCTTTATTGAATCAAACTCTAAGATCTTAAGATGTTGATGTTGCGGGAATTTTTTTTCTAATTTTGAATGAAAAAAGGCGATTAGACAAACTAAGTATTTTTTCCTTTTATCTCTCGATTGTACGTGTAGATAAACTGGGAAACGATATAATGAAGAAATGAATTTCAATAGACAGCTTAATCCGACGAGCAAAATCACTACGATATACAGTTCGTAGAAAGCCTTGTTAGACGTCGGATAGAGGCATATAAGATGCTCTTGTCTTTCCATTGTTTTTAGGAGTCAGACAGTTCAGTCGATATCTAAGAATGAACTGTTCGTCTTTCTATCATTTGCCTGGAGAAAAACGAGGGAGCAATGATGTATACATGCGTAATCACTTTGCCTTTGTTGTTTTCCTTTATGTACATATATGTAATCACCCTCTCTTTCTTCTTTTCTTTTGTGGTCTGTATATATCATCATGGTCAGTCTCTTTACTTTCCTTCATCGAGGTAAAGAAGAGATATCACATGGTGCTTCTCTAGAGCGTATAAATAGAGATGCATTTCTTTGAATTTACCATACGACTATTTGAATAACACCTAAACACGTGCACATCGGACCATTTCTCTTATCGCAATATTATCGGTAATTTCGAACTTTGATATGGCACCTAAACGAAAACAAAATGAAAACAATGATGTAAATCAAACAACTACCAAACGGCGTTTTAGCAAGCGGCTGAGCAATTTAGCAACAGGTGATACATCGACATTAGCTGCAAGTGAATTATCCAATAAGAAGGATACAAAAAAGATGAATACTAAATCAAAATCGTTCTCGAAGAAAATTCATGAAGCGAGCGATTCCAGTGAAACTAACGATGAATTGGTAATCGATGAAAGTAAGCCGATATTTCATATTTTATTCAATATATGAAGCTTTTTTCAACTCTTTCGTAGTGAATTCTATTGACAATACAGATTCAATGAGTGTGGGATCAGCTAACGCCGCAAAACCAAATGAAGCTTCATCTTCATCGATGGATCATTCGTCTGCATCGGCAAACAATGGCACTCAGTTGAGATCTTCCACATGTCATCCCGTTAGCATAAATGATGACGACGAAGAGGATGAATTTCGTCGAATGTTCATGTCAACGACACCGAAGGTAACCAGTCACAATTACAGCTCAACACCTTTGAATGTATCAAGAAAAACCGATAAGTGCGCATATTTTGTAATAGTCAAAATCGTATTTTGTGTTTCTGAACGTTGTATGGGTAACAGATCCATTGGAAATTCTTCTACGGTATATTGTGTGCCAGATACTCCACATAATCAATTGTCGAACACAACAAATAATCCTCTAAATTCTTCCAGTACAAATTCAAAAATTATGAACACGACAAACAATTCTTGTGCATACGACGCTGCACCGCAAAGTCAAGGTTCACCTTTGAATCGATCAATAACCGCAATGTTCTTTGGTCCAAAAGAGATTCCATTACTCGAAACTTTTCCGGAGTATCGAAAGCTCTTCCGAGACTGCGAACGTGTAAAGAAAGAAAACGAGACTTGGTCGAAAGATTATCAAGCACTAACCAACAGAATGAGACGACTTGAACAAACTACTTTTCGTAAGTCTGCATTGAAAGTAATTGTTCATCCAATTTGAATTTGTTTTTCTTTAGCTCGACCAACTGCCGATGGATACGCATTCATCGAGCAATTGATGCAATCCCTCAATAATAGTCGTCGCGACGAGGATACTAGAACCAATACCGAATTAGCACGTGATTTCGGTATGACCGAAGCTACACTCATGTCATTATCCAATACTGATCCACAAAAAACTGCTTTACGCTTATTCAATGCTTTATTCCCCAGTCATCAACAGAAAGAAGCGTTGATTAACGTTGCTCACCTGAAAGTTTTACATCCAAATCTGTTGGATGATATACTGGGTAAGATACCTTGCACCAATGACAACTTGTTGATTGATGTCTAATCGTATTCAAACTTTTCTTTTAGTCTTTGCTCGTCGATGTTCACCTGGTTGCGGTTATAACAGTTCCATGCTGAAAGAAGCTATTGGCAATAGCATCAGATGCGCACGCCATCAAATGCGAAGAAGCAATGCGCATCGCATTGTTGCTGCTGCAGCAGTTCGTCGACCATCAGTGCATCGTGCCACGAGTCTTGTTCGGCGCATTCAGTAATTTCATCTTGCTTTGAGTACGGCATGTTCAAATTGCGTTTCGACAGTTTTATTCATGAATATTTCTTTAGGCTTGGTGATAATTCTTCCATGTACATAACTATGGCAAGTTGTTGTTTAATGTATTTCAAGATTGTTTCCTGTTTACAATTACTTATCGTTTTTTGAGCTTTTGTTTCGCTCACATATGTGGACAGTCAACGAATGGTTATCTTTTTTATGAAAAAGATACGACAAAAATGTAAATTTCGATCCTCTTTTGATATTTAAACATTTTCTTTTTTATTGATGAAGACTTTACATTCACCTGTAAATAATTGTGAAATTGAACTTTATTTCTACACGATAAAAATAAATAAAGAAAAAGTTCATTGAATACAACATAGTTTCTTTTGCATACAAAACCTTTTATCTGTTTCATGCTCTGTTGATAGATAGCTATAGAATCTTAGGGATACAGTACGCAGCCTGTCAAAGATTCGCAAATACATGATTAATTGAGGGTGGTGAAGTTGATTCTTATTAAATAATGGCTGTCTTATTATTCTTCAATTGGAAATCGTTTGGTTTTTTGTTTATTGTGATCGTTCTTCGTACGCTAAGTACTTCTATCAAAGTTTTTCTTTCTTGACATCAGCTTAATCGCTAACGAGCTTACAACTCGATTTGGATCGATAGATGTACTTTGTTCTTTGCAATTAATTTAGAACGTAAAACAAACTTTGGTTCACTTCACGCAGCTACTGACGTGGTATAGAGACGTATTTCTTTATGTGTAGAATATTTCTTTCAAGATACACATCCATTATCATGTCGACTATGCGAAAAAGAATCTCTCGATATAATCAACGCGTAGCACAATCGTATCGACGGCATTTGGCTGTACAATCAATAGTAAATACTTTGATGTAAGTTTTACGTAAATTCAATCAGCAGAAAAGTATTCTCATTTTCCATTACGAGTGATTCTGGTGCTTCGGTTTCAACGTCTCTCCCATGCTCAATATCAAATTCTTTTTCAAATGTCGAATCGGTATCAAATTCACCACCACTTACAACTTCATCCGATCTCTCGTCCGTCATTAGAAGTCGTACTCAGTCTACTTCATCACGATCATCGTTACAATCAGAAAACACTTCAAGTTCGAACGATGTGAGTGACTGTTCTATCGATAATGGGGCGAATATATGCATACAGTCTCCGCCCAACGAACACTTGGAAGATGTTGAAAAACCTTTAACATCCAAAGAGATTGCTGTTTTACTTATTGAATTACGTTATCGTCATTCTCTGACAAAGTCGTGTATCGAACATATTTGTCAATTATTACAATTATTAAAAGTTCCAAATGCTCCATGTAGTTTTAATAATATCGAATCATTAGTACTTTGTGCACATCGTTCAACTATATTTCCTACGAAAACAATCATATGCCCGTCTTGCTATGAACGATCATCTAATCACAAAAGGTGCACCAGTACGACTGATTGTGATTCTCGATCTTCATTTGTTCGAGCGCCAACAATTAATTACACTTTTGCACTTGAACCGCAAATTAGATCAATAATTGAACGAAATCCGATAGTTAATAGCAAGACTAATAAGCGCTCGATCTCAGACATCACTCACGGGCTTGCATACGAAAACCTCATTTTATCTGAATCTGAACCGTTCATGTCTTTACTCATGAATTCCGACGGTGGATTAGTTAAAACAAATTCAACATCTGTTTGGTTGACTGCATTTGTTATTAATGAGTTGCCACGACGATCGCGGTTCCTTCCTGAGAACATGATAATTGGGATGATGTCAACTGGCGGAATGAAGCCGAAAAAGGAGGAAATGTCTGTACTCTTGGTGGACATAGTCGAAGAACTCCGTCGACTTGAGAATGGCATACCTGTATGTCTTCCAAGTTCCAACGTCAAAGATACAGAACAAACTATCAAAATCTTTTTACTTGCCTCCGTCAACGACAAACCGGCTACGGCACTTTTGCTAAACCATAAAGAATCAGTTGGGTATTTTGGTTGTTCACATTGCACGATAAAAGGTAACCTTTTGACAGATGATACAACAAACGAATATTGTCGAACATGTTTTTAAAGGCTTAATATTTTTTCGTATGCATAGCTGAAAGAATGAATGATGAAAACTTCATGACTTTGCAATTTTCAGATGCCCTCATTTTATCTTATTGCATTCTAGGTAAATCGATTCAAACGGGTGGAACAACAGTTCGTTCATTTGCCTACGATTCAAAGGAAAAAATCATCTTGAGATCAAACGAAACATATGACGAAGTAAATGTGTTTTTCGAAAATGTAAGTTTCGCGACATTTGTTTTTGTAAAATCTCCTTTGATTCCGTTCTTGTAGGGTTATAAACTCACAAGTACCGGCCAATCCTTTTCGAAAGAAATGACTATTAATTACTTGAAAGGATTCAAAGGTCCATGTATATTTCGAAAACTAACTCATTTCGATGTATATAAGTCGTTTTTGTGCGATACTCTGCATAATTTATATCTTGGCATAACGGTAAAATTCTTTTTTGGCATCAATAAATTCATTTTATGCTTTGTGTAGGCTAAAATATTAAAACTGCTTTTGTCGAAACCGTCTCCAAAAGCAGGCATTACTAATTTCATGAATGTTCATGATCAATTGAATTCCGTTGCTCAGTTGTTTGATACAATCTCATATCCATCGACAACTTATCGACAGCCAAGAGATATACGTTTATTTAAAAAATTCAAAGGAAATGAACTCAGGATATTTCTTCTTTTTGGTTACTCGTAAGTCTGTCACTTTTTAATAGGAAATATTGCTGATTATTTTTGCGTAGGATATTTGAAAAAGTACTCAACAGAGAACGTTATGATCATCTGAGAGTATTGGCCTTTATAGCTCATATGGTGGAAGGTCAATATTTATCTGTTGATACCCACGAAGACATTCAGGTTTTGGCCGAGTACTTTGATGAAAGATTCGCAACTCTATATACTGTAAATGAAATTGGCTTTGTTTTTCTTTAATCACTTATCTTAATACAGAAACGACATGCAGTTTCCGTCATTCATTCCATCCGACATTTCCATTCTCGTGTACGTGATTATGGGCCAATGTATAACTATTCAACATTTTCGTTTGAATCCTCAATGGGTCAGTCACGAGTTTTTTTTTTAAACAAACAAAAATCTCTGTATTAATAAATATAGCATCATTCTTTCGAACTGTCCATGGAAAATCAACTACGACGGCGGAGTTGATAAATAATATTGATTTATATCGACAAGCATCACTTCATTCATCTTCTTCAACATTCTCAACGCGAGGCAAAGAGTTCGTTTATTCTATTTCTTCTTCATTTCATCCAATGGGCTTCTATAACCTCAAGAACACACCTCAAGTGAAGTTCTATCAAAAACTCTCATCATTAGATCTCATCTCTTCATGGCCTTGTTCAATGACGTCTCACATAGTACTTTATAAAACTGTATTCATCAACGAATTAAGATTTAGCGGCGATGATTTTAATATTGTTCGTCGTTCAAATGACGCATGTATTCTATATAAGTCGAACAAGGATCAGCTGTCGATTGGTTTTATAGTTTGCGCTGGTCATTTGATGGATAAAAATGAGGTGTATTTGCTCATAAACGAAACAAAAATTTCTTCCAGCGCTGATAATTTAAGGATACGCGGACGAACTTTTCGATGCACTAATATTATGCGTGGCTCTGTTCTGCCTGATTCAAGAACCATCATAGAACCATCTTGTGTCATTCAAAAACTCGCTTTTCGACCAGCTTTTGAAAACGAAGAAAGAAAAACGAATGAATTTATTTTTTTTCAATATCCTAATTTAAAAGAATGTTCGTAGTCTAATTGTTATTGCAATAAATATAACAAAATCGATTGTGATATCTAATAGTATACTTGAGAGTTTATGACTCATTCTTAAACTTAATGTATGATCAGTGCTTGATATCTCTTGTGATGTAACTTCGAGGATAAGTGTAGAATAGTGAGCCAAAAGTCACGATTTTTCATATAAAGCCGCATGTAAAAAAATGCATTTTAAAAATTATCAATGGACAAAATAGTTGATTTGTGGTCAAAATCCATTTTAACACAGCATCTTCATTATTTTACTTATAAACACACATTTTAATATTGAAAACGGTAGAATTATAGGTGAAGAACCATTTTAATTCCCATTTATGCATTAATAAGTTGCCTGGGTAGATCTTTTCGTGTAAGTTCTTGAGCTACTATCTTTGTACGCATGACGTCCGTGAATAGCGTTCAGCTCACCATCTTCTACAAAAGATTTCAGAACAGATAAAGCAAAATATCTCCTTTGTAAAGAGGAAGGAACAAGCCTAGGCTCAGCGAATAAAACAAAATTCGCCCTCAAATTCGAATTTCCCGACGGCAGAAATCCTTCGGTCTACTCTGACAATGGATGTTAATAAGTCGTGGCTAGTTAATGAAAAATTAATAACTAATTAAGCAACACTAACGTCGGATTCGAGATCCTCGACCCTGATTACCCTTCGGTCGACCCTTACTGGGCAACGAAGAAAATTTTCATTACTTAATTAGCTAATTAGCTGATCGGAATTTCGAGAAATTAACCTCGGACTCGTGATCCTCGACCCTGATTATCTTTCGGTCAACCCTTACCCTGTATATTAATAATCTATATCTAGTTGGCAGATAGTTAATAATTAGTTAAAAATAACCTCGGACTCAAGTTCCCCGACCTCGATTACCCCACCGGTAATCACTTTCTAGCAGCTATCGATCAATTTCATTGATTTTAGAAATGCTGATTTCTGATTGGATAGGACAGACAGACAGACAAACTTTCAGCTTTTTAACACAGCATTTAAACGCTGTATAACCCTTGATTTCAGAAAAGGGAATTACGCTAAAAACTAACAATCTTATTGGTAACACTAATTAGAAACTAATGATCTAACGATATTAGGATAAAGAAAATATGGATTACACGAAAACTTAATCAGAATGTTCAGAGAGTGCCAAAATATAAAATACAGAATTTAAAGAATAAAAAACTTGTGAACCTTTTAACGGACAACATGGTTGAATTGAACATGAGGCAAAAATTTCATATTGTTTGCTACGTTAAGAATTTTTCAGTCTTATGAACCAAGGAGAAGTTGAGAAAGTTCTGGGTAGAAAAGTTCTACGAAACACTGAGTGCTTTTATCGTAGGTCATTTAAGAAATATTTGGCTGTGTTTTTTTCAAAATATGCCTGTTCTTGTTAGTGGAAGTCTGAAGGATTTTTCGTCAAATACAAATTAGCTGACAACAACAGTTCGTATTTAAAATGAGCTTTACTCTCAACGAAAATTCTGACTAGACTATAGTTTCAGTTACTATTGCTGTGTAATAGAAGAAGAAATAAACTGCCAAGCCTCATGAATTTCTGATAGGATCCACTTCTCATTGAAAACCTCCGCGATCTGAGTCTATTGTATTTTACAATTACAAAGTCTATATTTGTTTTTTCCTACGTTTTTCTCATGGGATATCCTGAATTCCTTTAGAAATGCCTTTTTTCTGTTTTCAAAATGTATTGATCCTCATGCAACGTTTAGATCTACCTCCATCTGTGTATTGCCTTAATTTTGTGACAATTAATTAATTGGGCGCAAAATTACTTGTCCGACAAATTATCTATGCGAGAAAGTGTTCAGTCGCCACTAACCCTCTGCACTAAGCATATTTCTCGCGACATTTCATTACCTAATAGCTGATCATCTAGCCGCAGTAGAAGTATTAACATCGTCGTGCATTGATGCGCCAAAATTATAGACTCAGTTTCATCATTATATCTATATGCATCCAAAATCTTGCTGTATACACTTATGAAACCGGCTAGCATGCGTAAAGCGAATCTCGATATTTATTGCACTCGACTCATTCCTTCAACTATATTTACAATTTTACCGACAGATTCGCGCTCATCATTAATTTCACTGCGACAAACGCCCTGGCCATTCCTCTATTCAAAAATTTTCTAACACCTTCCATGCAAGTATTTCCTAAGGGTGGCACTTTAACTTTACTTTCAAAATTAAAGTTAAAGCAAAATACTTTAACTTTAATTAAAGTACAGGGAAAAATCGAAAATATTTTTTAGTTTGCCCTGTTTAATTTTATGTGGCTTTTGACAAAAACTTTCAAGTTTTAACTTAAACTTTAATTAAAGAAATTTTAAAGTTGTAATTATTATCCAAAACTACATAAAATCAAACAGAGCGGGCTAAAAATATTTTCGATTTTTTTATTGTACTTTAATTAAAGTTAAAGTAATACAGTAAAATACTTTAACTTTAAATTTAAACTTCAAGTAAAAACTTTAAACTTTAAGCACTTTATAAAGTAAAGTTAAAGTTAAAGTGTCACCCCTAGTATTTCCTCAATGCTTGTTCATATTGACCGTCCATATACTATCTCATGAAAATTGTTACAGCGGGCTACAAGATGTGCGTAGAAATCTACGCTACAAAAGCGTATATTATAACTTTTTTATTCAGACTTTGCCGTTCGTTACAGTTCGTTCGGTGCGAGAAATGCATGAACGTCAAAGAAATCGCCTTTTAGGAGCATTTTGATGAAACCGAAAAATGTCATATCTATCTCACGTGAGGGTTCGTCATTTTTCGCGAGAAGATAGAGTTTGATGAGCAGAATATCTCCTCTAAGAGGAGTAATAGTCAATCTTTGATTGTAAAGATGCAATAAGATTTGCTAGTTTCTCTCTAGCTAACATAACTGGGATGATCCGAATTATCCCAGGTAGTTTGCATGAGTGATCCGAATTACCCCAAGTTGGCTTTCTCGGAAAAAATGGTGTTTTCAACGGCTGACATCGTGATGATCGCTATGCTTCTGTAACTCATCAGTTCGACTTGATATTCTCAGGTCCCACAGAAGAGAACATGTGCTCTCCAATGGTACCATTTTTTAGGTTAAAAGCATGAGAAAAAATTGCATTATGAGTTGGGGAAATAAGCTATTATCATTTCTGCTGGAATGATCCGAATTACACCAAGCAGTTTATATAAGTGATCCGAATTGTCTAAACTAGGGTAATTCGGATCATTTTTTGCATCTCTTTAGTATTTTGATCAATACTTTTTTCTGTTAAGTGCTACCGAGGAGATCGTTTCGCCAGTTGATAGAGCATGTTCTGTTCTGGTCGCGATGCAGAAGTCAGCTTTCTATCACAACTAACAACGAAAAACGAATCAAAACATTTTCAATCACTGCCATTTTGATCCGAATTACCCCAACTGGCTCTACTTTAGTATATCGATAAAATTTTTTTTTAATGATTACGCCATTTCATGGCTGTGAGATGTGTTTCATGTAGTTTCTATCGAATTCTAATGATGATCGTTTTCTCACGCACCCCTGTGGGGTACCCCAGTGTCCAATAGCCACCAGAAATGAAAGTTGCAAAAGCATTTTGAAATATACATAGATCAGCTCAGTTTTTGGGCTGATTTCAAATATCTTATTTGCTTTTCAAACAGAAAGAACATATATTGGCAAAATCGAGCGAAAACTAGTGAAAAAGGTTAAAGAGTCACGCTAAAATAGAATGTGGCTAGAATTTGATACACGGGCTCACTCTTTAAAACCTTTAAATATAGTGGATTTTCTAGAGTTTTTCACGCTCTACATGATGGTATATATGAAAAAGTGGATGCTAGTTTTGTTAACTGAATATTTAAGTAACAAGGATGATCTTACACTACATAGCGAAGCAGAAGGTATAGAAAGAAGCCAACTGTCACAGTCATAGATAACCCAAAAGATTATTTTAACCCACTTCATCTAGTATGAATATGTAGCTCAAACAAAGATCTATTAGAACAGCCATAATTCAGTATATTTCTCTAATATTTTCCCCACAAAACGGTGTGACGAATTTTTTCGTTCACTAATCCAAGAGAAGAAGGTGCTGATGAGAGATGAGTTTATTTCTTATCCGAATCAAGCACACCCTACTATACAATCCTCAGTCCTTATATAGTCCTCGGAATGTACAGTATCACGCCACATGCAATCAGCTGAAAGATTAGTCCAGGTAGTATCACGCCATATAAAATCAGCTGATCATCAGCTGTGAGAAAAGGATTAGTACCGGTAAAAGTACAAAGGTGAGTACCGAGCATATGGCTCGATATGCTCCAGGTGTAGAAGCTAAGTGCAGAGAGAGTGAGTGCAAAAGTGGATGCTAACTATGAATCGTCACAAACGGTGCTAGTACTGACAGTGTTGTATATGGCAATTCTAGCCATTTGCCCCATAAGAAAGATAGACACTATGTATACCTAAAGTACACTAAAATACATTCAATTTAGCATCAAAATAATCGGAAACTTGTGATCTATCAATTTCTCAAGAATGGGGTTGAATTTAGTTTAAAAAATAAAAGGGGTGAAAATAGGTCCTCAGGCACCCCCGTCCTTTGGGTCCACTACCCCCCCCCCCCCACGGAGTGTGACAGATATCTGATGAGAAAGGGCATAATAAACCGTAACAGAGACATAAAAATGGCATCACAAACTGCGACAGAAGGCTTTAAGAGATCCCAGACCATAGCAGAGATGAAATTAGGAAAACTTCAGAGATCGTGACAGAGCGGGAAAAATAGCATAACAGACCGTGAGAGAATCCCAAAAATAACATCATGGACCGTGACAGATATAAGGTTTTATAGCATTACGATGAAGGACTATAATAAAAGGAAGAAAATGATAATGACGGCTAATATGATGCCCCCGTGTTGCCTCCCCTCGCTCCCAGTTTTATGCTGTGTTTATACGGGAAAATGCTGCATTCTTCATTGAAATTATCGAGATTTTCTTGGCATATACGTTAACACATTCGACACGATGGGACCCATCAGTGGACCCCACATTATTTCTATAAGAAACTTGATGCAGAAAAACTTTTGTCTATCTGTTTTCCTAGGCAGATGTCACACATTAAATGTCATTAATTCTATCCTTGATATTATTTAGCCGTTTATTAGAAAGTAAGATGCTTCTGATTAAAACAATCAAGACAAAAGAATGTATCACAATCAGGACAGAAAGATTTTTCTTTCTTTGCAGCTGCATGACCGATTTCTCTCGATTGTTCTTAACTGATTTTCTTGTAGCAACCGGCACGGCATCGTCGGCCATCGCGAGCAGATCCTTCTTTTTCTTCGAGTGTATGAACAGCAAGTTTGCGCTTCGCTTGGCTTGTTGATTTTTATCTTGGGCTTGGTTTCAGCTGCCCAAATGGCATGCCGAGCAGTAACGATCTCACAAGGCTTTCACGAAACTTCAGAATCGTCATATTACTTGCTGAATATTGTTCCTTATGTACCAGATAACTGTTCACTATAGCCGTTCTAAAAATCAATTCAAATACCACCTTTCGATACCATTTTATAGATCCACTGCGACATTTATAATATGCTGTTGGTTGGTCAGATAGATTAGTACCTTGTCTTCCTTTGTTATAATCTAACACAGCTTGCGGCTTCGTAAATGACTCATTTTGAAAATTTGTTTTTCCAGTATGCACCATTACTGCTGAATGAGTAGGTCTTGTGGATATCATCGAAACATCTTTTTTGTCTTTCCACAGAATGAGTTTCATGCCTTCTTTATTCCGAAGTCTACACGTTACGCCACGCTTCAGCTGTTTCTGAAGAAGTTCTTTTCCTGAAGCGACATGATTACTTCTCAGCGTTCCGATAAGGTACGTATCATGTGCTAACAAACGCTTTGGAAGGGAAATACTGGTAAAGAAGTTGTTAGCTACTACAGTCCGATAACATCCTCAGAGTGCGTCCAATAAGTTCATCACGATTGTCTCAGCATGCCCTGAACCTGCCATCGGATCTTGTTCACTAGTATAGATCAAATAATGCCATGTATATCCGTTTAATAGCCGCTAGCTTGTACATCTTTATTCCACATTTGTGCGCTTTCCCAGACATATCTTGTTTGAACAAAAGTCTCTCACGCCATGGTATCATAGTTTCATCGACAGTAATAGCTGGACCAGGAACATATACAGATGAGAATCTGAATCTCAGTAAATCCAGAAGTGGTCTCAACTTAAACCTTTCGAGTCGATGTCGCCCACCGGTGGGCGACGCTATATTTTAACGGGAAACTGTATAGAAAGACACTTTCTTTTGCTGTTTTCTCACGCAGAAGATTAAACATAACGTATCACGTCTTCTGTCTTCAGTACTTTATTTGAATCCTTTATTCCATAGCATAATGCTTATCATTAAAACACTCAAGACAAAAGAATTTATCGCAGTCAAAGGAGGGGAAACGCGAATTTCGCCGTACTGACTTTGGCACTGAACTTTCGCCAATTGCCGATAGTTCAGTTTTGTAAATGTCAATTTTAACCATACCTTTGGTGACAATGTTACATCTCGATAAACATAATGATCAACTAATTGCTTATAGAACAG